TCTAAAAAATGTTATCTGTTTGAAAGTGGCTGTGTCTTCTTGCGTCCGATTCCATGTTTCATGTTGCGCCATCCGGTGAAGGTACGATGTGCAGCGCTTGCATTTAATGTACTATTGAACTATTTCCATTTCCCTGGTTTCCGCCTTTTTCGTTGAGACTACTTTCGGCTGAAACCTTTTTCGTATATTTCCGTGTCACCTCGGCCAGAGAAAATTCAGTTGACCCTTTTAAAAATAATCACCTAATATTGTCAGTGCCTTTGGTGGAGATTTCTTGCTTGCGCAGGAAATCTGTAGAGTTAGTCAGTATATTTGAGGAAAAATAAGGCTTGCCCCTTTGAAATCCCTATTTGTCACATCAAAATCTCAAGATTTATACGCAATGTTAAGAAATTACAGGTTCATCGTTCACGCTGCATTGCAACATACAGATATCAAATCGGTGTTGTAATTTTACTACAGATTGAGAAATAACAATCGCCTCGGTTAACTTACTCCACGGTCCCACTATCTAGTTAGGGAAAAAATACTTCACGTTAAATCGTCCTTGGGGCACAGTCAGTTTGTATGGATGTCCCAGGAGCTTAGCTGTAGTGGCGAGTTGAAAATTGTCGTCACACATGAGAGCGCAGTCCAAGCCACGCACGATAGGGAAGGTTTTAATCAAATCTCCGCGTAACTACCTTTACTTCAGAGGAGAGAGATTAAGGTTTTTTAGGCGGATCTCATATGGTAGTTCACCTTGGCCTCTTACCAATTTTGTGGCCCAACGCTGCACCCTTTCAAGTACGTAATAATTCTTCCGTATCCACGGTCTCCAGGCTTGAATTGCGCATTCAAGATGTGGCCTTATGAAGGTGCCGCAGATTTTCGAGAAACTGTCTTCCTCAAAGTGTGTGAATGCCCGCTTGATGGCGTACAACATTGAAGTTGCAGTTTTAGCCGCTTATAGTGTATAAGGCTTGAGGTTGTCTGTCATCCAGATGCCGAGCTCTTTCTGTGTTTCTGCTTCTTGGAGTGGGATTCCATTCAGATATTAGGATCGCGCATCAGGGACCGGATTTCCATTTACCAAACGCAGCAGAGTGCCTTTGTTCGCATTGAAGGACAGGAGCCATTTGCGTGAGCAAACGTTTAAGCGACAAAAATTTTCCTGAAATTGATCTTCATCGGCACCACTCTTGATGTCCTTCCATATTTTTACATCATCTGCAAACATGGCAGACCCAAAGTCCAATTTCTGTACACAATCATTAACGAACAACAGAATGAGTGTCGGTACGAGTACTGAACCTTGAGGGATTCTGCTCTCGATGACTGTTGGCCTTGATTGATGTCGTCCTACACACAGTTTGGGAACGACCGGCGAGGAAGTTCTCAATCCACGTAAGAAGTCTGCCTCCGATACCCATCAATCTCAACTTGTGCAGGAGACGTTGATATGGAACATTGTCGAAGGCCTTCTGGAAATCAATGTAGGACGCATGTACGGTTTCTTTTGCATCAATTGCACTTGATCAGCTTTGCATCGTGTAAAGCAAGTTTGTAACACACGACC